GATATTGTAAAATAACTCCTATGAGAGGTTATTATGATTATGAGTTATTGTAAAATAACTCTCATGAGGGGTTATTATGGAAAATCCGTAGGAAATAACTATTGGTCCTCTCTCTCTCTCATAAGGAGGAGTTATCTTGCTCCATAGATGATTAACTCATGATAGAAGAAAGTAAAGGGAGAAGGGAGAGAAACCGTAGTTCAAAATTCGACGAATTCAAAATGAATCAAGGTATGTTTTTCTTCCGATTAAAGATTGTGAAAATCATCTTGTTTTAAGATCTTGAGGATTTAAAACTTATGTAGATTCATAAATTATGATGCGAGTTCTTGCAAGAGTTAGAGAACTCTATTAAGTCTTACAACCATCTCAAAACTTTCGTCATTCAACTATCATTGCTTGATTATTAATTAACATGCAACATTTTCATTGGATCTTAATTGTCTGTTTATGGACATCTAATATTTGTAACATTTCCAATGAGAATCGGATAATTGTTCTTAACTATAAATCGCCTGTCTTCTTAATCTATGAGGAAGAGATGATTCATATATTTAATATTATATAGTGAATTATTAGCTTTTTCATATCAAAAATACTTACATTTTACAACTGCTTTCTGTGTATGATGAATTTTCCTTCAAAGCTAAGATACTAAATATGCACTCTATAACCACAAATTTTCTAGCACGTAATAATATGCGTCTAAAGATTAACAAATGACAATTTATTTGAGCAATATTATAAATATAATATTGATTTTATGATGAATTAATCTATTAAATTAAAAAGTATTATATAATTTATTTAAATTTTAAATATAATTAATTGTCGCTTTCTTAACAAAGACACTTGAATTGATAAAAATTAAGTTATATTAAATCATTCATTTTTTTTCTCTCATATATATAAATACAATGCAAGGATCATAATATTATGATAAATCGATAAAAAATAATTATTAAGAAATTCAGTGAATTAACCTATCAATTATATTTAAATATTTGATTAAGAATGAGAGAAAATTTGTAAATGGCATTTGAACTAAGGGTCCTATTGGACAGCTTTCTCATAACTTTATTTTTCAAAGATTTTTACAATTTTATTTTACTATGATTTTTATTATTATTTAAAAAAATACAATGAATTTTTTTTTATAATCAAATAAATTAAAGTAAGATAGCTATAAAAATTTATTATTTAATTATAAAAATATATAATTTAAAATAAGAAAAATCTAACTATTTGAATCAATAAATTTATAGAGTTATTTTTGTTAATCTCTCAGGCAACTTTATTAAAGAAAGAAGCTCCAATGAAAATAAGCCCCAAAAGCCACTTAATTAACCTTTCACTATTTTGTGAGGTCAACTATTATGCCTTTCTTCTTTGACAAGCAAGAGAGAAATGCTAGTGATGAGGACATTTATTATTTTTTAATTATAAGTTTGGATTATATATTAAATGGATTTTTATTTATTATTTTTTTAAAATAAAAATTATATTTTTTGGATTTTTTTTTGAAAATTTTTATATTTATAAAAATTACATTGTGACAAAATCATATGTAAATTATGATAAATCAGAAGAATTATCTAAATCATTAAATATGTCAATTACTTATATGAAAATATATGTTTTTATTAAATAGAAAATTATTACTTAATATTTAAATTTAGTAAAAAAATGCATATTATTTTTATTATTTAATAAAGTTTAAGAAATTTAAATAAATCTCTTAAATGGATAGGATATAAACAATAAGATGCTAATGTGACAACATATCAACTTTTAGATTTAAGGTTTTATTTGGGACAATTTTCTTACTTCTTATGTTTTTTACACTTAAAAATTGTTTTAAGAAACAGTAAGAAAGCTGTCCCAAACGAAATCTTTCTTACTGTTTTATAAATCTATTTTTCAATCAAGTGTGGGTCAGGAGGTTTCTGGGGTGGGTGCCTCTTCTAGGTCAGCTAAGGATTAGTCACGCCGCTAAGCGCAATTTCCAGGGTGGCAACGGGTGGATACCTCATCCCAAAAAAAAAAACTATTTTTCAATAAAAAAATCTCGTGAATAAAAAAAATTAATGGTCTAAAGCTATCGCACACGAAGCCCAAATCACAAGGCAAATCATACCAAGGTTGCAACCATCAATATCTCAATTTCTTCGAAGAGAAGGTATACTTCGAATCTCTTAACCACCTTTATAAAAGACCAGACCAAAAGCAAACTTCGTATAAAAAAAGATGCAAAAGGCCAAATAATCCACAAAAGATGGTGGGTTCCTACTGATCATTCCGTTATCCCTAATGCTTTTCATTGCGTTTTCTTCTTCAACAAGCATGAGAGACTTGCTTTCATTTTCATATTTGATCTGAATAATTCAAATTTAATTTAATTCTAGAACTTGAATTAAGGGTTTACATAAAACTTTAACTCAACTCGATGTCCTTAACAAATAGAAAAGAAATTAATGAGCCTCATGATTAGAAAAGCTAAGGGGGGGCTCACACTATATATATTTAGGGTCTTTAGGGACAGCTGCAGTATTTCATAAATTGATTGTGAAGTTATTGCGTGAAAAATAATTTAGCTATTTTAGTTGTAAGAGAAGATTTTTCAACACAGATTTCTTTTAAATTCGATGAGAGAGTAGCAAGAGAGTAGTAGCTAAATGAAATTATTATTGATGTTTAAAAAGAAAAAAAAATGAAAAAGTTGTCCCAAAAAGAAGAAATTATTATGTGCGGTCACCGGACAGTACATATGTCAATCAAGACGCGCCACGTCATCTGATACACAGTGTATTAGTGACATGGCACGTCTTAATTGGCCTCCGGACAGTGTCCTGTGCCCGCATATAATAATTTCGCCCTAAATAGACTATTAATCTAATAGTGGGATCTATTTATTTTTGGATTTAATGAAATTACAATTTTTTATAAATTTGAATATTTGATTATGAGCTTACTATTTAAAATATTTTTTTAAGAATATAAATTATATAATCATAAAATTTCCGATAAAAAATCACAAATGAAATTACACAACTAATTTTAGACACCAGAATTTTCAAAAATTAAAAGACAAATGTCAATATAATTACTTTTTAACATTTAAAAAAACTGATAAAATTTTATCTTGAGAAGAATCTAGAAGTTTCCATTCATTACTTTCATATGCTTTTCATCAACGTTTCGTTGTTTGTTGTGTGACACCATTACAGTAACTCGCAAAATGTATGACATGCCCAATTTCCTTATGGGCTTAATCTTTATGTTTATCGGCCCAATTTAAATTCGGCCTGTTTAGCATAACCCACGAAACAACCATGGTGATGGTGTTTCCTTAGCCGAGTAAATACTGGATGGTTTAGTAATATCAGATTTTCTTGTCTTTTAGATGGAATTTACCCTAATGTGTATATTCTAAGTTTATATAAAATTTGAATAGATTTTTCTTTGATTTTTTATTGGTCTTAATATTTAGTCGAAAATTATTTTAAGTTGACTAATCTCATTACATT